AGCCCCCGGCCAGGAAAGCTGCGGAAGGGCCTGGCCCAGACCGACGGGGAGAGGAGAGCAGAGTCCAGCTGGCCGCTGGCCCTCACCGCCGCGCGGCTCCGCCCGCACCGACATCGCCGTCTGCGCAGCGCAGTCCCAGGCGGCCTCCCGGAACCGCGCTGCCGCCTCGTCGCTGCTGTCCGAATCGGTGTCCGTATCCAAACCCGAGCCGGCCCTGGGCGCCGCCATCTTGAGGCGGCGGCTGGCGCGGGGCGCGCTGGGCGCTGTAGTCCAGCCGCGGGGCATGCTGGGAGCTGCGGTCCGCCAGGGCCGCCCCGACAAGATGGCGGCGGCGGGGCAGTAATATTAACGGGATTTATTTCTACAAACATCAACGTGACGTGACTTAGACCGTTCAAAAGTGAATGAGTCAAAGTGATTTATTCTCATGCACACTACAAGAATGAACTGGCAACCAGGACACAAGGTTTCTCTAAGCCGTTACTGGCTACCAGCTACACTGAAGAATGATACACGTATCACCATTAGAATATCTATAAATATAAACTGTGCTTCTATTCCCATTATGCACGTGATATATAGCTCTTTGAAAGCTGATTTCTTAGCTTCAGTAAGTTAAGTATTCCCTTGCATCACTTATTACTGCTATTCAATGTAATTCTTTCCAAGTGAGAGTAAATCTGAACGTCCCATGTACATTCTCCGGCTGACCTGCGGTTCTAAGTCTGTTCCTCCCCTGATAACCTTTGCTGTAAACACGACTGAAATGTTCATTCTCTTCTTCTATACCACCCTTTCCATTCATCCTACCTTATTCATTGCCCATCTCTGGATCTTTTCTATTTTAAACAAGAAAACCCTTGCTAGAAGTGGAGCAGGGGTACCCTAAACAGGTCACTGTAGAAATGTGCAACAATACAATTCCATTCTTCTGAGACTTCAAACATAAATAAAATGATAAAATTCTCACTGGGCAGTGAAAATATTCCCTGGTTATATCATCTACAGCAGTAACTGTATTCCTTTTTAGATTGCTTTAGTTATCATTTGATACCCGAACACTAAAGACTGCTCTGAACATTACTTATTTCCATGATTATAATACCAAAAATCAACCTTTTCAAAATCTTTTTATACTGAAATCCTTTTGACTCTAGACATACATGGTGATTAGTCTAAGCTGGTCCAAATTTCAGAAGCCCATCATTGTTTGAATCAGCATCTGGAGGATACCATTGATACCTTCGGGGCCTTGTTAACTTCTTATCAATCTGGCACTACATTGAGATGCCAAATTTTCGCTTGAATGCTGAAGCTGTGCCAAACCTGGGTGCTTTACTGTCTTACTGAAAGTCTGGACAGCCTGCTTTGTTAGAGACATTTTCACAGACAGCAAATACACCGCCAGTGTGGGTAGGACAGCGTTACAACGCACGTCCTAATGCCATACACACCAGCGTTTTCAGGCACTGTCTTCACCTCAACTACAAACTGTCCAGTGTGATGCATCAACGTGCACGGCAGCTCCAGCAGGGCCGCTGGCTGACTGCTTTGCCATGGGCTTTGCCAAGCCTGTGCTACTGAAAGCAGCAGGAAGGCTCAGTGCAGCTGTGTTTTTGTATTGCTTCCCCACATTCCACCCTTCACACTGGAGCTGTGTAGCCTCGGGCCACCCCAGTCAGCAGCCTGGCATCAGACAACATCCTTGGTCTCTTTCTGACAGGCTCCCTTGGCACTGACCTCCCCCCACTCAGCTATTCCCTTCCAAGACTTGCCTTTACCGGGAGACTCTGGCTTAGCATTCAACCATTCTCCACTGTGTAAAATAAGCAGCACTTTAGTGCTGTTTTCTGCTTCAGCATCCTCAGAGCAGGGACAAAAGCCTTCAGAGGTGCCTCCTTGGTCACCTTTCTCAGCTCTGACCTCTCCTCCAGGCACCAGGTCCCCTCTCCCTCCCTCTTGTCCCTCTCTCTGTCTTTGCAGTTTCACAGCTGTGTAAGCAGCTTTACAAAGTTCTTTGTTCCTATCCTGGAGACGCTCAGATCCCACTGCTCTGCACACAAACTTGAACAGCGTATTTTCTCCTTCCTTCCTCCCCTGCTTCCCTGCTTGGGCTGAACGTTTTGCTGCCATTGACGACAGGGTAGCTTTTGCTCTTTTCAGAGGCAGGCGTTTGGACGCGGCCCCCGCAACACCTCACGATGAGCAGGCAGCAAAAAATGCAACAGAAAGAGAGTTAAAAACCACACGGAGCGCGCAGGCAGGGGCTGTGCTGACCTAGCACGGGG